GTAAAAGCGGCGGGTATGTCTAATAGCTGATTTAGTAAAGCGCGGCGGTTCGATAGTGTTGTAAGCGAAAAGAGAAGTAAAAGCTTCGTTTCCCTGTGTGAGCCGCCGGAGGGAGCTGTGTGAGCGCTCGGTGCAGGGCCGCGGCGTTAAATGCGAGGGGTTTGTCACGTTTTATAACCTTTTTCTATCGATTATTGCCTGTAGCAGGGCTAACAATTCTATTACTATAGACTGTAGTCGATATATAATGCTCTTTTTTGTGCCTCCATACTCTGCTAACACATTTTCTTTTTATTTTTTTTTAAACACACCTTTAAATATTAATCACTGATGTAATCTCTCTGAGAGAGACTTACAGAAGTCCTTTGGATAGAGCAGGTATTTCTTGTTTATTTCAGTAAATTTCCAACTCCTTGATTGGTGGACACTTCAATATAATTCCCGGTTTTATGGAGATTTGCAGCACTGATAACACACACTGCATTGATCTCCAGAGTTCAGGGAAATTTATAGTCTAATGTCACTCACTTTGTGCTTCCCCTCCTGCCTTCAAAATTCAGTAAGATATAAGGGAATTACAGCATTTACTGCTTCATTGAAGTTCCCTTTCCTTCTTTGGCAGATCGGGGTCCTTCTGAAAACTCTGCTTTTGTGCGTAGTCTTAAATTACTGCCTTTGTTTTTGTTCCCCTTCAGCGTGATGGCGGAGGATATGGCATCCACAATGATGGGAGATCTCTGCTTACACATCAACGTGAAGATTTCAAATATTAAAAAGTCCTTTCAATTAAAAAAATTAGGTAAATGAGATTAACAGTGGGGTTCGGTTTGCACCTCACTTCAAGAAAAACATTGAGGGGCTGTAGAACGGAACGGAGCTGGGGAAGGGTCTGGAGCAGCAGGAGGGGCTGAGGGAGCTGGGGGGGCTCATCCTGGAGAAAAGGAGGCTCAGGGGAGACCTTCTGGCTCTGCAGCTCCCTGACAGGAGGGGGGAACTGGTGGGGGTTGGGCTCTGCTGCCAGGGAACAAGGGACAGGGAAAGGGGAAATGGCCTCAGATTGTGCCGGGGGTCTTAGGTTGCATATTGGGAACAATTGCTTCATGGAAAGGGTTGTCCAGCCCTGGCAAGGGCTGCTCAGGGCAGCGTTGGAGTCCCCATCCCAGGAGGGAGTTAAAAGCTGTGTGTGGATATTGCACTTTGGGACATGGATTAGTGGTGGCCTTGGCAGTGCTGGGGAATGTTTGGGCTCTGTGATCTTAGAGGGCTTTTCCAAATGAAATGATTCCATGAGCTCTGTTGGCTTGTGGAGCACGACAGTTTGACTTGCTGCTTCCCCTGGGTGGGAGGATATGGTGACTGGGGAGTGTAGACTTAGTAGGTAATCACTGCTTGTGGAGGGGAGGGAAATGGGATTTTGGGTTTGTTTGGTTTTTTTTTTGTTGGAGATTTTGCGGCTTAACATTCTCTCTTTGACAGGTGAAGAAAAACGCCTCAAACTTAATGTCCGTAAAATAGGAAAAGACATGATGCTCTTGAATGATCTCCTAGATAAAATGGAAACTGAAGTTAATCAGCAAGAAAAACTGAAGAATTTGCTACAAGTAATATTTTTTTGTTGTTGTTCATAAAATACTAAAAGATTCAAAGGAATCTTTGATAAGTGTGTAGTTGGTTTTTTTCCAGATCCTCAGTGATATGTTTGGATGCACGTTCTTAGAAGAGAAACTGGGGCTTGAAACAACCTTACTGATGGCATATTAAGCAGTTCTCCAGCTAATGAACATTAATAATTTTATTTTTCGAGGTTTATACATGGAATCATAGAATCACAGATGGTTTGGGTTGGAAGAAACCTTAAAGCTTATCTTTTTCCAACCCCCTTGCCGTGGGGCAGGGACACGTTCTACTGTCCCAGGTTGCTCCAAGCCCCATCCAAAACCTGGCCTTGGATACCTCCAGGGATCCAGGGGCAGCCACAGCTGCTCTAGGCAACCTGTGCCAGGGCCTCACCACCCTCACAGGGAGGAATTTCTTCCTAATATTTAATCTAAACCTTCCCTCCTTCAGTTGGAGGCCATTAGAAGCATGTCTTTATCACTGACCTTGAGAACATGTTTTTATGATAATAGATACCATGATCTAAAGAGCAGATCAACTTATAAATCTTTCCAATAGCTACAAAAACTGTTTAATTGGAGTATTTATCTATTCTAGTGTGTGTCTGCAGTGCCTTCATGTGCTAAGTCTTTGGGGAATGTAGGTGTGTGCGCTGTGGTATCTCTTCATCACTACCACCATTCCCCTGCCCAGACCTTGCTAGTTGTGTATTGTTAAAGATTTTCATTTGCCTGCTCAAACTTCTCAGGCACTTTGAGGACAAGGGCAGACACCCCTCGCTCTGTTTCTCTGAGCTTTACTACTTTCTTTTGGGAAATGATGGGGTAAAGAGGCAAGATGACAGGGAGAGAGCAAAGGACGCCTCTTAATAAAGCTGAAAATTAACTTAAATTGCCCTAATTTTACATGCTTGACGTCGGTAGGTTCAGATTACTGATGAAGTCTCATGTCAATTTCAGGAGCTCCAGCAGGCTGGTGAGAGAGATCTACATGAAGCACAGCACCTCCTTGAACACATTCCTCCCCACCTGCCTAAGCCAACTCAGAGCTGGTACGTGGTACATGAGCATGGGGGTGTCGGGCTGCTCCTGGCAGTGTCCGGGTGCAGCATTGTGGAGCTCTGCTCCTTTCACTCTGTGTTGACTCTGAAATTTTGGGAGCCAAGGTTGTATCTATCGATTCTGGATTTTGCTCTTGTCCAGGCTTGTGCTACCACCCTAAAAAATCCACCAGGTGAAGTCCATAAAATGGCAAGTTGTTCCAATGGAAGCTTCCAGTGGCAGGTGTGATGCAGTAGAAAGCAAAGGCTTCTATGGATGTAAACACTCCTTGCTTTAAAATCACAAACACACTGATTTTATAACTGTAGTGCCTGTGGATTGAAGGGCGGGTAAATGATCCCAATGCTAGGTCACTAGAACTGAAGTTCACCACTGGCCTTCCAAACATAATTTAAAAAAAATCCTCTAACTTGATCATCTTTCTGAGGGGCTTTGAATTATCATCAGGGGTTTTTTATCCTCCTTTCCCTGCAGCAACCTGCTGGCATTGATTTCAGGTAGCCATGACATCCCCTGCCTTGGAGAGGGCTGTGGTAAGAAGCTGTTCAGAATCAAGTAGCTCAGGTGTGAGAATGGCACACAAGTACGTGAGACAGCAGCTGTTGTTCAGAAGGCTTCTAAGATATTGTAACTCTGACTGAGTTTCTCAGCTCTTTCTCTGGCCTCTTGGAATTGCTTTTTATTTATGAGTGATGTTAGTGTATGCCAGGTGGGGGTTTCTTCCAAAGTCTTAATATCTGGGGATCCCAGGACTTGTTTCTAGCCTTGTACCTTGTCAGAAGGCAGTTTATCAGTCTGTTTGAATTCAGTGCTTCCAATATGTGCCCTCAATATCTCAGCTTTATACCTTGGTCTGGTTCCTGATACCAGACAAGCCTCAGGCTGGAAACATTTCAGGTGTATTTCAGCAAAGCAAAAGGTTAAGTGTGTGGAAATAGGGTTCCAGAAGAGAAAAGTTAGATGTCATTTTAGTTGGCATGTAGCAATATTCTCATTGGTGTAGGTACTGCTTTTATTGAAACTTAGATTAGTCTTAGCTGGTGGACAGATGACTTTTGCGGGAGCTTTTTCTGACTGCAGTTCTTTAGACATGAGCCCTCAGTTTGGGAAACAGTCTCTCAAAATGTGTCTAGAGCTGTCTTGTTCCTTTTCAATTTAAATGTTACTTTTTGTGTGTGTGTGAGAGAATCAAAGTCCTTCAGAAATTACCACTGGGGTTCTGCCTTTTTTGTCATAACCTACTTTCTTAATTTAGGAAACCCTTTGTCCTAAGTTTGTGTCAGCTCCTGGAAGTTGTTTAGATGCAAATGAGGCTTGTTTAGTGATTGTGCCACCTCTGATATCAAAAACATTCTTTTGGGATGTTGATTTCCCTTCCAGTCTTGTCCTGCTTGTGATCAAGAAGTTAATTGTGATATGACTTTAGCTGGTCCTTCCTGTTCTGGACAGAACCACATATGTAAAACCAGCCAAGCTTTTCTGATAATTTTCTACAGACTGTGCTCTGCCAGCTCACAGCTGCTGTTCCGTCACTGTCAGTGTGTTGTTGGTTTCTCCTGGGGAATAACACATTTTATGTTAATGCCATTTGTCAAAGCATGCTTTCTCCTTTTGTCCTCATCTTGTCAGTTCTTGATGTTCACCATGTTGTGCAGTGGAGGGTCAAGGAAGTGCAAGACAGGACATAATTGATCAGAATCCACCATATCACTGCTGATATGTTTTCAGTCCTCTTCTCCAAACCTTCCTCCACTGACCTCCTCCATTTCTGTTCATTTATGTCCCCACGTGTGTGGAGATGGGGGTACTAATGGACTGTTGAGTGACTGTCATGAGATAATGCAGAAAGCAGAGCCAGCACTTGAAGGCTGGTGAGATAGGCCTTGAAATCCCCAGGAGAATGAGAACACCCACGCAGATGAATTGAACGATTCATGGCTTTAGCTATTGTTTCTCTCCTGTGTTCTTGGGGTTTTCTTTTCTTGTTTACCAGAGGAATCTCACTGAAATAAAAACCAACTTCAATGTCTCTCAAAGCCCTTGTATCCCAGGTGTTTACTGAGAGCAGTTTATCACTATGCCAAGGCTGGGTTTTGTAAACAAGCGTCAGTTCTTTCTTCTCATCCTCCAGGTCAGGGTGAACTGTGTCTATACCACGTCAGTGCAGCAGTACAGGGTCAAGGGATTGGGTGGAAACACAAAGCAAAAGCACCTGGGGATGAGGAACCGTGTAGAACCATTGTTGCAGTAGGATGGATGCCAGGAGACTGGAGTGTGGGAGGAATGAAGTTTCAAGATGTGAACTCTCTTCCCTTTGTCCTTGTTTTTATCCTTCCATTCCAAACCCACCTCCAATACCACCCAGAATCCCCCCTACTTCCCTTTCCCTCCTCTTTGTTGACATTCCCTGCTACCTCCAAGGATGCCAGGATTCGTTTTGTTGTTGTTGTTCTGATGTAAACAGATGTTTTTCAGATGTTTACATCGGAGCAGGTTTAGCTGTTGGTGCCTGGGGTTTCAGAGGGGCTCTGGGTTGTGTCAGGCTGCTCCCGTCCCTGTCACTGGCCAGGCCGTTTGAGAGTCCAGCAGGTGGCACTCCCTGTCCTCTCGTGGCACTTGTCTTTCCTGGGATTGGGACACTGAGCTTGGGTGTGTCACATCAAGTGACACCTCGAATCCCAGCCCCGGGTCAGCCCCGGGGCACTGCTGTGCCGTTCGCTGGCTGTGGGGCCCCACGTCAAAAAAGAATCTCTTATGGGAAGGTCAGATCAAAGTCGAGGATCAGTTTCTTGTGCCAGGTCAGCTCTGTACTGCTTTAGTTAACTTTGTTGCACATCCCAATACTGTCCATATGCTCCAACGGCCAAATGCATCCTCTTTGCTGTCCTCATGCCAAGGAGCCTCTAGGTGGGTGGCTGGGAAATCACTCTGGGTTTGAGGCTCTAAGCTGAGCCTTTAGAGGAAAAAATAATGCTCTAATAACCACTCAGAGCAGGAAATTCTTTGACTTTGGGGATCTTGCAAAAAAAAAAAAAAAAAGAAAATATTAAAAAAAATCACAGTCTGCTGGATGTTGTTGAATTTCTTTACTTCAAAAGACTAATGGATGAGTCAGGCTTTCCAAGATTTGAACTTGTTTCAGAGAGCTCTGAAGTATTTCAAATCTGCAGCTCTGTGCTGTGGTTCATCTGATAAAAAGCCAGGCCTGGTGTTCTCTGAAATGTAATGGTACATTGAATTCTGAGCTGCTCTGTGCTGTGTTTGGACTGCTTCCAACTCACCTGCTAGCAGTCTCTGTAGCAGAGAAACCAAGAGCTGTATTGCAGTCACCTGAAGGATGCAGTTTGAAATGGGAGTAGGCTTGCTTTATTTATTTCTGTTTTGCGGAATATCGTTAATTCTGTTCATCCAGCTTAACAGATGGATTAGGATTTACATCTGTGAGTAAGCAGACTCCATAATGTAATGGAATTCTCCTTACTACTTATCTGCTATTTATACACTTAATATTCATTCATTTCGCAGCATCACTGTGCCAACTGTGAAACACGAAGAACGAACAAAAGTGTCAGAACCTGAACCTGCTAAGAAACCTGCAAAAGAGAAAAGAGTCATTAAAGAAATACCGTTAATAATGGCAGAAGAATTTGAAGCTGTTCCTGTGTAAGTAAGCGTGGTTTTCCTTACACCCTGCCACATCAATTTGGGTGGCAAACACAGGTTTGGGAAAGTGACCTCTTGCAGAACTGGGACTGACAGAGATGGCTTGAAACTTTAAATATTCCACAGGGTGAAACACCATTATGATAGCTCCAAATAGTTGAAATGCAGCACTGGCAAGCCTGAAAATGAAATTAAGAGTCTTCCCTTTTATTGGGAAGATCAGAACTAATCAGTTAAAATCCAAACTTCTTATTGCAAAAGTCACTGTAATTGTATGAGCAGAAATTTATTAGCTAACAGGTGAATTCTCTTCTTGTCTTGAGAACTTACAGAAAAAAAAAAAGAGCCATGATCTCATAAGATGAAAGGTTTGTTTACAGCTAGAAGGAAAAATAATCATAAATGCTGGTTTTATTTGACCCAGTTATTGGTTTCTGGAACTTCAATTCTTGATTTATCAATCTGTTTTCAGATAGCAAAGGAAATCAAACTTGTTTCAAGGAGAAAACGCTTTGCACTGAAATTCCCAAATTTCTTCAATAGAAAGCTGTGGGTATTTTTCCCTAACATTGGGACCTGATTAATGGATATCCTTGTCTGAAGTCTGTCATATAGGAATAACTTTTTTTAAATGGCTTTTTTGGGGCAAGGATAAATATTTCTGAAAAAAAGGAGAAATTTCTCTAAGGCTTAACTGTTATTGAGGCTCTAGATTCAGTGTGTTCCCTGACAATACCCGTTTCAATATGAAATATGTTTTTGAGTCTGTATTTTGCTTGAGGCTTTCCAGTAATTTTTCCTGCAGCTTTCAAAATTTTCCGGTGAGTCGTGTCCATTTTCTTTCTTATCCTGAATGTTGAGCTAATGATAAAGGACTTCTGGTTATCTCTTAAAAGAGCATGCACCTGGTAATTTTTATTCTGCAGATCACCTCTAGTATTTTTTGTATTTACTCCCTTAGGTAGATCTCTCCTGATAAAATTATTGGAGCGTAAAGCCGGGGCATGGGAGTCTTTGGTGTTTATATCTGCTCTGGCAAGAGAAGTAGACACAGACCATTCCAAGTAGATATTATTTAACAGTTAAAGCTGTGGTCTTCCACATCACAGGACAGGTAGTTGTGGCACTTGGGGGACGTGGGTTAGTGGTGGCCTTGGCAGTGCTGGGGAAAGGGTTGGACTTGATGTTCTCAGAGGGCTTTTCCAGCCTACAGGATTCTGTGATCATCCTTGAAAATAGAAGGCTTTCCTCTGCCGTTCACGGACACAGAGGATGGGGACAGAGGCCAGATGGATCCTTTTCCTGCTCATTGCAGGCTTATAGAGAGGTTACATCTTAGAGTGTGCTGGTGGAGCTCTAGGAATAATTTTATTCAGCTGGGAAAAGCATGTTTGTTCTGTGGAGGAAGATTTACATGAATTTACATAGATCTATTAATCTACCAGTATTACTGTTGCCTGGCAATGTTGTAGTACAAGATTGAGGGAGTACTTGTGATTTCACATACTGTTTGATCAAATCTAAGCAGCAAATATTTGTGACCCAAATTTTCTTGCACCAAACATATTCCCTTGGATGAACAAGGGTTGGGTTCGCATCCCAGTTCTCCAGGTCAGCACTGGTTCTGACCTAGGATCACAGTTGGACTCGATTATCTTAAAGGTTCCTTCCAACCCAAACAATTGTGTGATTCTGTTCTGTGGTCAGAGACTTGCAAATTATCTTACCCTTCAAATCTGTTCCAGAAAGGCATTTTTTTGAGGAAGAGAAAGGAAATTTCTTGGTATCTGTCTCAGTTAACATTGAGTTCAAGGCAAAGGAAGAATCTTTCTTTATTCTGTGTCTGAAATTCTTGCTGCTTTCTAAAATGTTTACCGCTTAAAATATTTTAGCATCTGCACATTCATTATAACTCTCGAGTTTCAGAAGATGATAACTTGAGGGAATATGTTTCTCTTAGCCTAAGCATTTTTTTAGGGAGCAGGTGGTGGCCATTAAGAGGTTTATCTCTTTTAGTGTGGTATATATGTGATACACTGATGCTCTTCTTTTCTCTGAGGAGGACATCACTGTGCTTTGGTTTTCATACCTATGGAAAAAAATGCTTCGAAAAAGAAATTGGGTCACTTGTTTTGTTTTTTTTTTTTTTTAAAGGAAGATTTTCTGAGTTTTGCTGGTTTTGGAATAGTGATGCAGATTTTAAAGTTCTTTTAAATCTAAATTAAATGGCTGGATTTGGAACTTCTCAACTTTGTATTTTTATGTTAGTATATGTATGGACTGAAATAAATGTCAGCATTTACAGGTTTTCCAGCCATGGTTGGGTAGAAACATGAGAGGGCCATGAAACAGCTGGAGTTTTTATGATCCTTAGTTATGCACAGAATAAAAATTCCGCTTGGTTTTGAGAGAGTTTAATTTCAGATTAAAGCATCCTGGATGCCCGAGGGCCTTCTCAGAGCCCTTGTTTCTTAGGTTTAGGTAACCCAATCCTGCTTGTCCGTTTCAGCCTCAGGATGGGTTGAGGTGCTCCCTTGGCTTTATTGAGTGTGTTCACTGAGTGTCTATTGATAGTGGGAGCACAGGAATTTAGATTCAGGTATTTTATACCTCTGGGCTTAGCCTTCATAGCTCTGCACGTTCCCCTGTGCCTAAGGGAGGCAGACAGAGCAATAAATAGCAGTTAATGCATACAGGCAAAGCCTTCCTGTGGTCGTAGGATGTGTTGTTTATGCTGTGGCTGCATCTCAGGGGTGGCAGTGCTGCTTTTATTTCTGTGCAAAGTAGATCGTTTTTATAATTACAAAACGGCTGCACATCCAACTTTGGATTAATCGAAGAAGTATCAATAAAGTTGAAAGCTGGCTGCGAGTAACTTCGTGGCAACTAAGTTTCAAACTCAGTCTGAACTAAGAGCAGTTAACTTTGAATTCGGGAGGTTTTACACACCTCGTTTGCACCTGGCAGCGGGGACTGGCTGTTATTGAAATCTACAGCAAACACTTACTTTTAGTTGGCAGTGGTAAAACAAAAATCCTGCCCACATTCTGGTTTGGAATATTGAACTTGTAGTTGATTAGCCACTTCCGCTTTAAATTCTCTGTATGTTTTCCAAAGACCTTTGGTTTGCTGTAGCAACTGAATGATGGTCACAGGATAATTCAGGTTGGCCTGGCTCTTACTGCCATGTTTTCTGGGGGGTCGTGTTGTTATTTCAGTTTCAGATTTCATTTTTATATAATGGCTTCTCGGTTTGCAGCACTGTTCCTTTTCCTTAAAGGCATGCCTTTACATCTATAAATACTGAATAGCCTTACTTGCAAATTATCCCAGTGTTCTAGTTTTTCCACATCACTTTGGTTTTATCTTCTGTGCTTCCTGTACCTCTAGGCTGTTATCAACAGATCTTATTCTTCTAGTACTGGTTTTATGAAATGCTCTGAAAGTTCAAAAGTGGACCTTACTGGTGCAGAACGGTGCCTGCACAGCTCAGTAGGCTGCACAATGAAATATAGAAGACAACACAAAACTGGTAGTTCTTCAAAAAAACCCACCAAATAAAAGAATGTGAGATCAAACGCAGGTTATTTGTGGTGATGGTATGAACCAAGCTGTGCTCTTAGGCAAACAGATTTCATTTCATGCCATGTTTTCTGTGAAGTCACTTGATTTTTCCGTGTTTGTAGTTTAAGTGGCATGCTATAAAAGCAACTTTTATTCCATTTTGAAAGACTTTTTACAGCTTAAACACTGGATATATTTTACTTCATTTAGATTTCTAGTATTTCGTTTTTCTGGTTTAGAATTTGTCGTGGCTTTTTTACCTTCAAGACTGTTAAACAATCAAGAAAATGAACAGAATTAACTACTACATTTATTCATTAACACAAAGCGGAGGAAACTGCCTCTGACTAGGAATGGCTTGTTCAGTTAAGGCTGACGAAAGAGAAAAATAAACAAGGAACTTTGCGACTTTCCGGTTACTGATTTTTATTTTTATTTCTATTTGTAGGTATCTGAAAGGTCGTTTAGCGTATGATCAGATTAATGCAGTTGTTCAAGAGATTAACAAGGCTGTCGTGGAGAAGTACAAGATCAAGCATCGGCCTTTGAAATCTATGTGTTTTGCAGTCAGAAATCTCTACAACAGGTTCATAGAAGAAGAAACTAAAGATACTAAAGGTATTTCTTTTTTTTTTTCCCTTTTTTAGTACCTAATTCGTAACACTTGGACGTTGCAGCCCAAGTATAATAATACTGGACTTTTTTTCCAGTATTTGTGACTGAAGAGTTATCCCACAACTGATTTGGTCACTTTTTGTATGTTTTCACTGAAAACACGTCATTTCCATGGCGTGTCGTGGCAGAAACTTTGAGTGCACAAAGATTTAAGTTTGGAATCACTACAAGTTCTGGAAACTCCCAGTTTGATAAACGAAACATATAAACTGTGTTTTCAGTTTTTAAGCTAGAATGGACATAAACTATTGAAAATTTGTTCTGAAGCTGGGAAGTCTGACTAATCAGTTGTCCTGCAGTGGCTTTGTGGGAGAGACAGGTCCATCTGACAATCTTAAGAAGTTTTCTTCTCTTAAAAGCATAGAGGGAGTAAAAATCAGCCAAAATACCTTTACCTCAATTGAAAAGAAAGTTTTGCTTGCAGGTTAGTTTTTCCAAAAAATATGTGGCACGGTAAATCTCTGATATTAAAATCCCCTTTTTGACATTCCTTTCCTTCTGAGAACAAGTATGTAATTATTCCTGGAGGGGTGTACTGCACATGTCAAGCTTGGCCATGTCCTTAGAATGCCCTCATGCTTCCAATTTCAGACATAAAGAGTGGAGCAAACTCTGTTCTGTCTCACAGAAAAAGAACTTTCTCTGACAACACCTTGGCACCCACCTCCCTGTTTTTGGCCTGGACAGAATGTGAGAACATTCTGCCCTGAGCACTCACTGTGTACTCAGGAGGCACTTTATGACAAACTGCAACTTGTTCTTGCTTTGGTTTTGTTGCTGTTCAAGACTCTCAGTGTTACAGTACGGTGATTACATCACTCACTTCTGGATTCTAAATGCAGCTTTTCTGTAGGGAAGGACTGTGATCTGATGGACCTGCCTGTCACTTTATTTTGAGACCTATAGGATAAGCATAGGATCATGGATTAGTTTGAGTTGGAAGGGACCTTCAAGATTGTCTCATTCCACCCCCCTGCCATGGGCAGGGACACCTTCCACTAGCCCAGGTTGCTCCAAACCACGTCCAACCTGATCTTGGACACTTCCAAGGATCCAGGGGCAGCCACAGCTTCTCTGGGAAACCTGTCTCAGGGCCTCACCACCCTCACAGACAGCAATTCCTTCCCCATATCCCATCTAACCCTGCCTTCTGGCAGTGGGAAGCCATTCCCCCTTGTCCTGTCCCTCCATCCCTTGTCCAAAGTTGTTAGCTTGTCCTCCAGCTCTCCTGGAGCCCCTTTAGGCCCTGCAAGGGGCTCTCAGGTCTCCCTGGAGCCTTCTCTTCTCCAGGTGAACCCCCCCAGCTCTCCCAGCCTGGCTCCAGAGCAGAGGGGCTCCAGCCCTCGGAGCATCTCCATGGCCTCCTCTGGACTTCCTCCAGCAGCTCTGTATCTTTCTTACATTGGGGTCCCAATGGGCTGGACACAGGACCCCGGGTGGGGTCTCACATGTCATACAGAGGTCAGTGTTTAAAGGACTTTATTGAAATCATACTAAACACATGCAGCTGGATAACTTCATGTGACTAGCTTCTGATTTGGGCTCCAATGGTTTGGTTTCTCTAGACATGTTTTGCCTCAGTCTAACAATAGCTTATATTAATCTGGGATTTCTTAAAATACTTGCTTCATCACTCTTAATTTACAGCATTTTTTTCGTTTAACTGTTTCTGTCCTTAGACCTATAGTAAGGAGTTTGAGCCCATGGTTACTAGGACAGGCTAAACACTAGGAAGGCCCTCCTAGGCCTGAGATGCTGCTCCATGATCCACAGGAGCATTGACAGCAGTGAAGAAACCTTTCTAGCAACTTGACAAAGCTACAGGTAGTCAGAGAGAAATTTCTGCCAGAAATTTGAGGGTTTTAAATCTGAAAGATTGAGGTATTTCATTTCTTCAAGCACCCGAGAGACAGCCTTATTTTCTTGTTTGTGTTAGGAAGTTGGACATTCAGCATCTGATAGAATATGTGTGTTTGTGTGGTAGGTTGTTTTGTTTAGGGTTTTTTTTGTGACTAATCATCCAGAAAGTCTAGAGAAAAGGTCTGGCAGGCTGTCAGGCAGTTCTTATCTGGCCAGCACAAAATGATTAAATGTCTTTATCCATTGCATTTTTCAGGATGAGTTGTGCATTCATTGATTTGTTTGCTTAAATCTCTACTGTGAGTGACCCTCTACTTAGAATTCCCAGAGTTTCCCATCCTGGGCTGATTGCCAGCTGACCTGTTCTCTGATTTCAAGATGAGAAAAGATGCTGCCTGATTTGTCAGGGTAAATTCCAGCCAGTAAGGTGATTCAGGGAGTTTAGCTGGTTGTTTAGTGCATGGACCAAACCACCACCCTTCATCCAGCTCTGGCTTCTTCATAAAAAAGATCCTGCTATGCTGAATGTTACAGCCCTGAATTCTGGGCAAATATAAGAAGAAATCTTGCTGAAATTCAGGACATTCTGGTGTTCCCCTGATGTAACAGACTAACCAGTATGCAGGTTATCCCTGGGCTCCTAACACTTTGGGTTTAATGCCCTATTACCAGAACTTGTAAATGGTCTCTATCCAATGGTACTTGTATTTTAAGCAGTTATGCAGGTTTTCTTCTTTTCCTGGTAAACAAACTTCACACTTCTTATCTGTATGGGAATTCAGTGGTGTTACAAGCTCAGAGATTACAGCATAGTTTCCTGTTTGGGAGAGATCTAGATTTGGACAGTTATTGTCTCTGAAAGATTCTACTTTCTATTAGACATGTGTCACCAACTCTCAAAGTGGACCAGTCTGTGTGAAAACACTACCTGTTATTCTTCTGCTCTGGCTAAAGAATATTTTGGGGAACATTATGCTTATAAATACTCTGGGACCTTAGTCCTTTACTGGCAGCTTCAGCTTTCCAGCTTGGATCAGCTATATTCTCTTCAGTTAAACTGGAAGGACCTTCTAATAACTTTAATGGAGCACCTCTTCTTTCTTTGTCTTAGATGTCACTGCCTCTGCCTTAAAGGATAAATTGAGGAGGGAGAATGCTATCTTATTTTTCCAAGCTGAAACGCCCCACTCCTGTGTCTTCCTTCTCATTAAACTTGGAGTCGCTTCCTTCTACCTCCCCTCCTTGAAGATAATTGGACATTTCCTTCTTATACCTCAATTAGCACATCCCTGGTTTCAGATTGCTTTTCTTTCTTACAGTTTTGTGGAGATACATGGTTAAAACCTTGTGCCATGTTACAGGAAGCATTAAATATACAGTCTTTTTACTAGGTCTATAATTATCTCCTGTCTGAGCAGTGGAAAAAGACTGAGTATGAAATCACAGCCATGGAATATAGCTACGGAGTGCTTAAAACTGTGGAGTCATTCAGGCTGGAACAGGCCTCTAAAAGATCACGAATTCCAACCACCATCCCAGCACCATGCTCACCACTAAAACATGTCCTCAGGTGCCACATCCTTACAATTTTTGAACACTTCCAGGGATGGTGATTCCACCACTGCCCTGGGCAACCTGAATTGTAATGATAATTTCCTTATGGAATTAGTTAATCAGCTACAAGAAGGCATGAGCTGCCAGCTCTGTCTGATGCAGGACCCTCCTGTGCCATTTTCTTAGAGGCTGCAGAGAGGATGCTGTTCCTGTGGTTAGTCTTTTTCTTGCATTTCCTTAAGTAACGAAAAACTATTCTTTTCCAAATCGGATGGAGGTCAAAGGAATGGTGGGCTGCATGGCTCTGATGTATGCAGGGCTCTGTCCTCCTTTTTGCAAAGAGCCAATTCCAGAACTTGAGTTCCTGCCGGGAGACAGAGCTCACTGAGTGGGGCCTGAGGATGATGCAGGGTGTCTGAACTTCATGGGAAGGCTGGTAATTCTCTTTCTGATGACAAATTTATAAAGCAGAACAAAGTTCCTGAGATAGTGTGAGGCCTCCCTACTGCTGATGGTAGCTTTTCCGTCAGTGTGTGGAATTGTTAGGAAAAGGTGGCGTTCTCAACTTGTGAAACCTTAAAAGTGTATCCTGTCCTTTCTCTGGCAAAATCATTATTTGTTTTCCAGGTGAATTTTTTATCGTGGAGGCTGATATCAAGGCGTTCACCCAGCTGAAGCTGGACAAGCGCTTCCACAGCATCCTGAGCATCCTGAGGCACTGCCACAGAGTGAGAGAAGTTCGAGGCTCAAACCTGGTCCGCTACATCATCTGCTAACGAGCTTCCCATGGGCCCAAGAGAGAGACATTCTGCCTGTGTGCACTCCTTTCCAGCTCTCTTATTTCCTGAAAGACAGGAATGAGGAAAGAGAGGCAGTATCAAACAGCCTTGAGGTTGTTTGAGTTTTGTTTTGAAAAGCTGAGGGGAACTACTCTCTTTTGGTAAGTTACAAATTCAAACCAGAAAGGCAACTGGTTACAGGTAGCTTTAATCGCATTTTCATGTCAGCACATGAAAGTTAAATGCTCTGCATGTTAATAATTTTTGTGTTTATGAGTTGGAGATTGTATTAAAGACTCTAGGGTTACTCGAAGGAAGCATTTGTGGTTTTTTTTCTTAATGCCTCTAACCAATTTCCAGATTTCCTTTTTTTAATATTTCTTCTTCTTATTCTAACTGTATGTTTTGGAGTTTTCTGCGTCAGCAGGTTGACTTTTCTTCCTGTGCCATTTACTTTGTGATTATGTAGGTTTAACTTTGAAAGTTGTAGGGAAGAAGCAAGAAGAGCCTCGGCCAGGCCCAGAGGAACCACCTCCAAGCAAAAAGTGAGCACTTTGTAAGGAGAGGTCCCACATGTGGAACAGTTATGGCAGCCTTGAAAAGGAACTTGGTGGGCAAACAAGACTGAGAGACAGGTGTCTAATGTTTTAATTAGTAGTATAATTGGGGAAGATGATCAAGGCCATGTTGGACGGGGCTCGGAGCAACCTGGTCTAGTGGAAAATGTTCCTGTCCATGGCAGGGGGTGAAATGAGATGGGCTTTAAGGTCCCTTCCAACCCAGGCCATTCTGGGATTCTGTGAGACCTATTCTTAATGATTAAAACTTGCTGTTCTCAAAACATTTGATTCCTTGCTGAAACAAGATGCAGTTATATGATGGTGTTCACCCAATGGGTGGTTGCCGCTGACAGTGGTTTTTTATACTTAGGTGGAGGCTGGGATCCTTGGGATTGCCTTTTCCTTCTGTTGGATATTAAAAACCAAAACCTTATAGTATACAACATAACCTTGGTTTTGCCTATTCATGATAAAGTCACGAGAGTTTCATCAAAAGTTTTTTTTCTGTTCAGGTATCACTGAACAGTTTTTTCTTTTTTTAATTTTTTGTTTTCCTAGTACTTGTTTTGGTGTGGGTAAACTTGAACAGTTTTTTTTCTTTTTTTTTAATTTTTATTTTCCTAGTACTTGTTTTGGTCTGGGTAATCTCAATTTCTACATGACCTTTTTTTTTTACCTCCTTATGTTTTGTTGCGGGGATTGCAGTTTGTGCTTGACTAGGTGTTGGTTAACAGCTTTCAGTCTGTTACTGTGGAGTTTTTAATTTTCTAAACTATTTTCCCTCAGGCATATTCTCGCAAATGCGCTCGTTATTTTTAATTCCCTACCCTAACAGTACGTTTTCTTTTTGTTTTACTTCTCCCAAGGAAGTCTGGACTGTGGTCACTTACTGTGCCTTTTCACCTTTCTTCCTCCAAAAGTTCGTGCTGACTTGCGAGCTGGGAAAGAGCCATTCCCAGCCATCCCAGGGGCTCAGTGAGCTCCTGTCTCCTCTCTTGAAATGAATTTTTTGGTGTTCCCAAAGCGTTTGGGGGAGAAAACATTCTCTTCCGGGAGTTGCCTCAAAATAGGGCTGTTTTCTGCTGTATGTTTACTTACTTCTCTCTGGCCAGTGCTCCCCGTGTCGTTCACCATCAGACAGTGGGCGATGGCACTGGGTGCCTGTAGGTGTTTGGGGCAGCTTTGCCAACCATCATCTTTGCTGCTATTTCGGCTTCTGGAAATGAGATAGAACTGATGCAACACAAGAAAGGGATTGTCTTCCCACAGCCTTAATCTACTCTCCTTGAGGCACAGCTCAGTTCATGATTTCACCCCTGTTGCTCTCCACCCCCTGGACAGCAGGAGCTGTGAAGAACAGGAGGAGTGGTTGATGAATATGTATCTAGTGAGCAAGGTTACCTCCTGGCCTGGTCTAGATGAAACAGGGAACCCAATGCCAGCAATAATTTGATGTGGTAAATGCCTTGGGCAGAGATGAAAGAAGTGTCTGTTAAGTTTGGCCTTGGTGGTCAGAAATCAAACTGACTCCTGTTGCCTTGTGTGGAGGTCAGAGAGTGGGGGAGATGCTGTTTGACAGTGAGAAAGCAACGTTGCACAAGCCTGGCAGCAGCAGGACTGATGAGCCAACGGACTGTGCTGCTCGGGAGAGGCCTCACACATCCCAGGGGAGCTGGGTTTTGTGCCTGTCAGAGACCCACGCCTCTGCAAAACTGAGCCAAAGCCAAGCTGCTTTTTTAAAATGCTCTTTGTTCCTGTTGCTTTGCTGGTTTGTTGGTTAAAAATTAAAACAAAAAGAAAAAGGCATTTTTTTGTTCTCCTTAATTCTTCTTTTGAAGAGGCACTAATGGAAATAATTATCTGTTGAAATCAATGCTCAGAGCGCTGGCACCCCTGAGTATTTAGCGCTGCTGTTGTTTCAGGAGGCAGTGATTTCCATCTGTGAGAGCACATGTTCCCTTTCATAGTAGCCATGAGGAGGAAGAGAAAAGGAGAATTTCCTGTCATTCACGGGTCTTTTCTTACAGGGAGCTGATACTGAGCAAGGTTGTTGATTAACTGTGTAAGGGAACTGGGTGGTAAAGAAAGTGATTGATGTCGAGGTCTTTGACAGAGGAGTCTCCCAGCTGAGAAAGGTTTCTCTCCCATACATGATTTTATCAAATGACCATCTGAATTGTTCTCTTAATTTAAAAATCTTAGAACCTTTTTTCTAGGATGGTGATTGCTGTGCCTCATGGGACTGAACAATCCACAATCCAGACAAACCACAGGGATTGCAGTCACAGGTCTGCTTGCTTTCCCTAGCCTGTGAAATTTGGAGTCTTTGTGTGTCACAAACAAGATGATATATATTTAAGCAGCTTTATATCCTCATAATTAGCTTTAAATGCTAACCCTTTTCCATGGCAAAGTACAGAAACAATGATGCTTGCTAATTAAAAGGTTGATTTTTTAATTTTTTTTTTTTCTGTCACAGCATTTTCTGGGAGTTGGGATGCAATTAAAATGCAGGAAAACTTGTTTAAACAGAACAACTTTAAAAATGGTTGGGTTTGTTTATAGGCAGAGGCAATTAAGCATTTTATATGTACAGACAGAAACGTGGAACAAGTTTATCCCTACATGTGTTGCTTTCAAAGCTGAATGAAACTCAGCATTTTGGAAAGATTTGGTTGAAACCAGATTAATTGTGTTTGCACTTTGATGTATCAGGTGGTAGCCTCAGCTTCCTCAGATGGAGAACTGCACTAGAAAACTGGTTTTCCCATTTCCTCAATTCTTCGTGGATTTACTTGACAGAGATAAACCAGTGGAATATCGTAGGGCGGAATAGCAACACAACGGCTTTAATTTTTTTTCTATCCCAGTTCAGTAGTGCATCTTATTTAATTGATGTGAGATTAATAAGTGATGATGAGTCCAGGCCTTTACGTCACTTTGTGAACTGAAGCTGCGTGGGCTCTCCTGGCATTAATTTCAGGCTGTTTCACGATCAGTAGAAGTTTTGTGGATTGATCCCTTCCGAGGCTTGCCTTTTTCACTTTCCTTTTTCCCAGATTTCAGGGGGAATTTGTTCCCACCTACCTCTTTGTGCTGGCCAGCCTCAACTCGCTCCCCCCTGCTGACACAGCTTCTCTTGCCCTGTTCAATTATGAACTAATGTTTTACGTTTGATATTTATGCAGCAGCTGAGAAACCTAAATTATTAAATTTCCCTGTGGCCCAAGCAGGCTAGGAGTTGGATGAGCTTCTTCACAGATGTGAGCTGTGCTGGCTTGAAGGATTTTTCTGGCGTAGTGGTCCCTACCTGTGGGCTCATTCCTCGATAGAACCTGCCCCACTAATCATCAATAATTCAGCTGTGGCTCAGCACATCAGATTAACCTTTGGGAACACTCTGAGGTTGCTGCTCCCTGCAACCTTTGATTTTAAAGCAGCAAAATTATTAGTTCAGAGAGTAACCTTGCTTCTGGAGAGTTAATTTTGGGGTGACGGCGGTGACTTAGCGTGGCTTGGTTGTTGTGCAAGTCTGAGATTTATTCAAATGTTTGATTTAATAGTCCATATTTTCCTATTTGTTTTAATAGTCTGGCTCTTTTGTGATGCCTTCAGCCACGGCACAGCTGTGTGGGGATGTCAGGAGTACTGACAGAGTTGCTACAATACCCACCATGGCAGCGTAAGGGCATTAAATCCCTGTCTAGTTACTCATGGATGATATCTAGGTGTCCCTTTCTTCCCAGTTACAGCTGGATGTGATGAATTATCCAGAAGTTCAGGATGCTGTGTTGGTGAATTTTGTTCAAATCCAATTTCCAGGTGTCCCTGCTTCCCCACCTCATGCATCTAAACGCTGCCTCCCCTTCTCCTCGTGCCAGTCCTGGGATGATGACAGGCAGAGGTATCCATGGAAGCAGACACTGGGGAAGGTTGGGAATGAGCTGGCCAGCAGTGGTAGGTCATAGAAGACCTGTTGGTCACAGCAGAGCACAGATTAAAGTAGGAATCCATTCTTGAAGCTATTGCAAAGTAAGCCAATAAATATATATAAACCCTGAGTTTACCAAGCTCTTACGCTAGAAATGGAAAGCAGTCAGTCAACCTCCAGACAGCACGTGTGGACTCAGCTTGGAGCCTTTCTCTGTGAGGTCCTGGTTGCCTGTTAGGGCTGATTAAAGAGAAGCCAGAAGCTGGAAGTGAGGATGGCTTCAGAGGTGTGATGAAAGGGAAAAGTAAGGAATGTGGGTTACTTAATGTAGAAGGAGATGTGGAACCGTTAATGGTGAGTTCAGGTTTATCCTCGTGGGAGCTTGAGGGTGATAAAACATGGGAATGATGCACAACCACTGGAGTTGGGTGTGCTCGAGCCTGGAGCGAGACCTGGAAGAAGCCATCATCCATCCTCTCAGACATGTGATCTCAGAGTCTGCTAGTTCAGGCTGATTGTTCCTTGAATGGGCTTGTTCCTCCTTTGTAGTGGCAGCAGCATTCTGGACGTCCTGCCCTTCCCTCTGCGAGATCTCGGGAATAATTGCGAAGGGAGAGAAGGACCCATTAACCTTTACCGTCTGCCTCTTCTCGGTGTGATCCAGTTGGTGTTTGCCTTGATGGCGATAATTACACAGAAGTATGTAATTGCAAGACAAATGTTTAATTAAGAGCAGGTTTGTTGCTTGTCTCTTGTCTGCTTCCATCTGGGAAGAGT